TTGCTTAATGGCATGAAACAACAACAACAGACTACAATAGTCTGAAGAACCAATGCCAATTTAAACAGGGTGTGCAAAGTATGAAAACTGCAATCCTGGTTCAAAATATTCTTAAGAAGGATGAAGAAAGAGGGTATTTGCACCTAACTATTGTTCTCGATCAAGAATATATTGCCCTATTGATGAGGAGAACAAACTTACATTTCGTTACTGAGGCCTAAGTGACCCACTTGAAACTGTTATTGAGAAAAGGTTACTTATTTAATGATTCCAATAAGATTTGCTTATATACAGTTTTGTTTGCTTCTGTCCTTAGCAGCCTTTATCCACTCTTGTCATAAACATAAAGGGAAGGGTAACCACCTTTCTGTATACAGAACTATAAAATCCCTCCTGACCAGAGGCAAAACCCTTTCACCTGTAAAGGGTTAAGAAGCTAGGATAACCTCACTGGCACCTGACCAAAATGACCAATGAGGAGACAAGTTACTTTCAAAGCTGGAGGGGGGGAACAAAGGGTCCGTCTGTCTGTGTGATGCTTTTGCTGGGACCAGGTCAGGAATGCTCTTCAGAACTTCTGTTAAATTAGTAAGTAATCTAGCTAGAAATGCGTGAGATTTTCTTTTGTTTAATGGCTGGTAAAATAGCTGTGCTGAATGGAATGTATATTCCTGGTTTTGTGCCTTTTTGTAACTTAAGGTTTTGCCTAGAGGGATTCTCTATGTTTTGAATCTGATTACTCTGTAAGGTATTTACCATCCTGATTTTACAGAGGTGATTCTTTTACCTTTTCTTTAATTAAAATTCTTCTTTTAAGAACCTGATTGCTTTTTCCTTGTTCTTAAGATCCAAGGGTTTGGATCTGTGTTCACCTGTACAAATTGGTGAGGATTTTTATCAAGCCTTCCCCAGGAAAGGGGGTGTAGGGCTTGGGGGGATATTTGGAGGGGGGGGGAAAGACGTCTCCAAGTGGGCTCTTTCCCTGTTCTTTGTTTAACACGCTTGGTGGTGGCAGCATAGGGTTCAAGGACAAGGCAAAGTCTGTACCTTGGGGAAGTTTTTAACCTAAGCTGGTCAAAATAAGCTTAGGGGGTCTTTCATGCAGGTCCCCACATCTGTACCCTAGTTCAGAGTGGGGAAGGAACCTTGACAACTCTTAACACTTTCAGTTACACCCTCATTTCCATGGGTACATGCATACACACACAAATGCACGCGCTAGTTGTTCCAGCATTCTCTTCAAATGTTTACAGCTACAACATAGGTTCCTTTTATGTACAACCTAGCTAGTCTCTCTGTATATCACTATGATATGACAATATCCCCTTCACACACCTCTTAGCCACCCAATATTTTCTCCAGTCTTCTATAACACTACTACATAGAGCATACTCAAACATAACATGGCCCCAATCCTGTATTAAGCTTGGGCAGGAGGACCCTTGCCCCCATGTGCAGCTCATTGTAGGATCAAGGCCTAGAAAGTGGCCTCCAACCTTTTTAAGCACAAGATCACTTTTTGAATTTAAATGCAACCCAGGATCTACCCCTTCCCTTCCCTGAGGCAGGGGGCTGGTGTGCAGGAGGGGGTGTGGACTCTGGGCTGAGGCCAAGGGGTTCAGAGTGGGGGGGACGACTCTGGGCTGAGCCAGGGACAGGGAGTTGGGGTGTAGGAGGTAGTGAGGGGTGCAAGCTCTGGGAGGGAGTTTGGATGCACGAGGAGTCTCTGGGATGGGACAGAGGGTTGGGGTGTGCAAGAGGGGTTGGGGTGTAGGCTCCAGGAGGGGGCTGAGGGCTGGGGCAGGGGGTTGTGGTATGGAAGGGGTGCAGGCTCCCACTGGGCGGCACTTACCTTGGGCAGCGGCACAGCAGGGCTAAGGCAAGTTTCCTGCCTGCCCCAGCCCCGCACCACTCCCAGAAGCTGCTGGCATGTCCCTGCAGCCCCTGGGGAAAGGGGGGCACGTGGCTCTGGGCGCTGCCCCTCCCTACAGGTCAATGGGAGCTACAGAGGCAGTGCCTACAGGCGGGAGCAGCACACGGAGACCCCCTCCTCCCCACGGAGGGATGTGCCGGCCAATTCGGGAGCAGAGTGGGGCCAGGGCAGGCCTGGAGCCTGCCTTAGCCCTGCTGCCACACTGGACTTTTAGCAACCGGAGACTGCTATTGACTGGCAGAGGCTCTGCGATCAACCAGTCAATCGCGATCTACTGGTTGGTGACTACTGGCCTAGAACTTTCCAAGATAAATAATCTCTTTGCTGCTGGTAGTAGTAGTAGTAGAGAAAAGAAAAATACTCTGTAATATATTTCCCCATATCTTTCATAAACACTGGCTTTCCTAAAATCAATCAGCACCCATGGGAAAACACAATTTGCAGATAAATCTTCTCTAACATGGCACTGGCTCCCTTAACTATTTTCTTAATCTGTGACACATTTTAAAAAATTCATTCATATAACACTATCTCATGTAGGCCAACACAAACTGCCTCCTGTATTGCATCATTTAATGCAACATCTCATGTAAATAGGCAAGACTAGGAAGAGCTGACTCAATGCAATGGCAGTCAGGCCAGGTGAAGGAAGAGTAGAACAAAAGAGAATGGCAGGCGGCATTCTCAAACTCAAAACAATATTTAAAAAAGAAAAGAGAGAATTCAAAGTTTCAGCAACAAAACAAAAAACAGGAGAAAATGGTAGAAGTAGGGGGGAAAATGCGATGTCTTTCTTAGTATACTTGCAATGGAGGAAACCCAACTCAGGCCGAGATGGCAGACACCAAGACTTAGGGCCTTAGGCCCAGAATGAAAATTCAGTGGATGTTAGAAGCCTAAATACCTTTATGGATCTGGGCCCTAATCCTGAAAAATGATCCACACACGTAGATCTGTGTGTCTATATTTGTTTCAGTGGTACTCTGCACAGATAGAAGGAATCAAGAGAGCTCCACCCAGGTGGATCAGACACACACATGCATGCATACAAAGTACCCAGAGAGTTTGTTTGTTCTTTTAAAGAAATGATGTAACACACACAAAGCTTACTCAAAGGAAGGGACCCATCCTAGACGCAAGCCATAAAAATGTGTAGTAATACATGCCTAGAGAGTCAAATTGTAGGAATATAATCATTGGGAAATACAACCTAAAATAGTTTTATTTCCTAACATTCCTGATGTTTGTGGTGTACACTGAGGCAGGGAGTAGCTAGCATTTTGAAATGTACTCACACACTTGCTGATCTGTTGCTCTCAATCTACATTCTATATCCATAAACTCCCAAGGCCGGCATGCGAGATGCTAAGCAATGAGCAAAAGGCTGAGTGTCATCAACTTCCACTGTCTTCAGTTGTAGATGCTGAGAATTTCTCAGGACAAGGTTCCATGTGATTACCAACCAGTGTGGCCAACTTTTTCAGTTTTTGTTGTTGTTGCTCAAAGCCCTAGCTCTTGGATTCATGATTATGTGTGACTCAGTTTTTGCCTTTAAAAAGTAAGTTTCTAGCCCTCATGATTTCAGAGAAAAGCTTGAAAATATGACCTGAGGTCACCTGAAAGGCTCAAAATTTAAAAATTAAAGAGTCCAAAATTAAATTATTTCTTTAAAATCTCATGATTTTTAAGCCAAACTAATGATTTTTTTGAGGCCTGACCTGTGATTTTTGTAATGCTTGGGTTTGGAAATACTGCTAACATGGTAGATGCAATTATATGCTGAGCCCTTGCAGTGCATTAAAAGGCCTGATCAGTGCTATCCCACAAGAAATATTGCCTTCAGACTGGACAGAAGGACCTGTGGGATCAAGTTCCCATATTGAGAGAGAACCTGAATGGAGCAGGCAGACAGGGTATGTCTACACCAGGGGTTCTCACCAGGTTGGGACCCCTGGGGGGGGAGGGGAGTTATCAACCTCCACCCCAAACCCTGCTTGCCTCCAGCATTTATAATGGTGTTTAACTTAATGGGGGGGGGGGGGGGGTCGCACTCAGAGGCTTGCAATGTGAAAGGGGTCACCAGTAAAAAACTTTTAGACCTACTGGGCTACACAGCAGTTTGCAGCCACCCTCTCAGCCTCGTCAACAGACTTCGGCTAGCAGGAATCAGGCCTAGTGCTCTACAAAGAGCTGTACACAGCCAGCGCTTTGAAGTTGTGGCTTGGGCTGGAGATGGGGCTCTGAAACCCAGCGGACAGAGACTTCAGAGCTGGAGCCCAGCCCACACCAAAAGTACTAGCTATAACACAGCTATTTTGAGAGACCTGGCACCCTGAGAGGCTGGCTCCAGAACGCTGTGTAGACACACCCGCAAAGGCCGAGTAGCAGGCAGCACTCAGCTGATCCTCGCTGGCCAGCTGCCTTCCAGGGTTGGCTGACTTCATGGGGGTGGAAATCAAGGACTGAGGTGGGGTGGTTTCAGAGTAGCAGGCCTGTTAGTCTGTATTCGCAAAAAGAAAAAGGAGGACTTGTGGCACCTTAGAGACTAACCAATTTATTTGAGCATGAGCTGTAGCTCACGAAAGCTTATGCTGTAATAAATCTGTTAGTCTCTAAGGTGCCACAAGTCCTCCTTTTCTTTCTGAGGTGTGGAGGGGATTGACAAGCCTCCACCGGGGCTGGTCGGGCGGGACGGTGGTGGAGGGAGGGAAGGCTGGCTCCCGCCAGGCAGAGCGGAGAGGAAGTTTCCAAGGAGAGGGGCTGCATTCACCCTGAATCCTGCCCCGAGGGAATGAATTCTGCATCCCCCGGCCCCGTGCCCACCTGCCTGTGGCCACGTCCCTAACGCGGCTGGGGCACATCAGGGGGGAGCAGAGCGGGAACGCAGCCCCCAGCCCCAAGGGGACGCGCCGCACGTGGGAAGGCCACCGGCGGCCTCTCTCCCAGGCTCGGTCCCTAGTCCACAGGCCTGGGCCCGGCTCCCCGCAGCGGGGCGGGAACCGCTTCCTCCGCCCCCTGCCGCCAAGGCAGCGGCCGCTTCAGCCTGTCCCGCCCCGCCGGGCCGCGCCGCGCCCCTCCGCTCCCGCCAGCTCCACCCCGTGAGCTGCCTGCCGCGGGGCCCCGCTCTCCGCCCGGCTGCTCGCAGAGAGGCGCGGAGTTGGGGCGGGCGCAGCCGGTCAGCGTCAGGCAGCAGCAGCGCTCGGCCCTCGCCTCCTGCCCTGGGGGCTGTCTAGGGCTAGGCACGGGGCAGACCCCCTCCCCCCTTTCCCTCCCAGGACCATGAGACGCTCCGCGGGGGCTGCCAGCCTTTTGCACGCTGCGGCGCTGCTGCTCGCCGCCTCCTGTCTCGCCGCGCTCGGTAAGTCAGAGCCGTGGGTAACGGTGCGCCCAGAAGGGGCTTTGCCCTGCGTGCCGGCGCCGTGCCCCGAGTGGGACCCGAACCGCCCCCTGCTGGGCCCCGACGGCTGTTCCCCTCCCACGTGGGCGAAGGGCCCCTGGCAGAGCAAATCGCCGGGGAGACCTAGCGGTCTGGCGAGTGCCCCTTGGAGGGGCTGCCCGGACATTGGAAGTGGCCTTAGCTCACCTAGCTCAGTGTTCCTCAACCTTTTCTGAAAGCAGGGACCGGCTTGCTGCCTTCCTAAACTGTGTCCGAGAGATGCCAAGGACCGGTTGCTCAGAAACCTAGCCCTTCGTCCTGGCACAGCTGCCTCGCCGCTGTTCGGGTATCGCTGTACTGAGGTCCCAGTTAAAACGGTCTTGTAATTCCGAAGCCTGGGATAGCCTGGAGAGATGTAAATCCAGCTTTCATTAGAGTCCCGGGAGCCTCTGGTCATGCAGGCTTATAAAAGCATGTTTTCATACCACACGGATACTAATGGGGTGTTAGTCTCTAACTAGAGCAGTCATCATCTTAGTTTGTTTTGCACACTGGGGCTTTTTAAGATAAGGGATCAAATACAGGTATAGCAGAAGTGCGTTGTGCCTTTCAAAGACACTTGCAAAAGATGCTTTTCACCATTCTAGGATGATCTAATCTAAGGCATAGATGGCTACTTTATGTCAAAATCACACTTTGCAATCAGTATTACAGTTTTACAGTGTGCAGAAAGATTTATGATCTGCATTTACTGAGTGATGGTATCATATTTATTGGCTCAGTTGTGCACATCTTATCCACTCTGTAAGTGAAGACATGCTAAGCTATGTCCAAATAGAAGTTTTACTCCCTTAGGGAGGGAGGGAATGGACCAGGTTTGCCTTTACCCTCAGGCAATGCCCACTTCAGATGGATTAGCTAAAGTACAAAAAGAAAAGGAGTACTAGTGGCACCTTAGAGACTAACCAATTTATTTGAGCATAAGCTTTCATGAACTACAGCTCACTTCATCGGAATGCATCCGATGAAGTGAGCTGTAGCTCACGAAAGCTTATGCTCAAATAAATTAAGCTTATGCTCTCAATCCATAACTCTGATTCCTCTAAAGGAGACCTCCAACAAAGCGGGAGACAAGATTTGACATTTTTGATACTGCTACAGTGAAAACACAAGTGGAACCCCTTCCCTTTCTTTCCTTAAAAAAATTTCCCATAAACCTTCTTGTATATTGCAAGAAAGCAGAAAAGGAAACAACTCCCCTGGATTTTGTTTTCTTGTTCAGCTTTGAATTCCACTATCCCCTTTTCCCTTCAACAAAGAAAAATACTAATTTATGTGGACACAAAATAGGGAGAGAAGATACTCATATAGGAGATCAGTACAATCAAAACCATAGCTGACAGAAGCAACTGGAACAATGGAACAAGGTGCCTAGATCAAGGTCCTTCTAGTGAACTATCCTAGGGGCCTACACTAGATGTCAGAGAAAGGAGAGGAGGGAGCCATAATATTCCTGGCCGGTTGTGTAGTATAGTGTCATAAATTTGGGGAGGGAGGAAATAGTTTTCCCGATCCCAGCTGAAGATCAGCAAATGCCCTAAGGCGGTGCTACATTTATGGCAAGACTGGTATCTGCTGCTCTTTCTGCAGTTGTGGGATTACTCTTCTATGTAAGGAAGGGCCCTTTTTTGTCTTGCACTGGTCTGGTGCTTATAATAATGTTTCCTTCAAGTGGCTGATCCCTGCAAGTATACAGATTGCTGCCGTCTCACATCAGATGAGTTCTTTAACTCAAGTTGTGAAAGCACCAGATTCAGTCCACACTGATAATAACCCTCTGAAAACACTTACCATAAGGATGGCTGTAAAAAGCTAGACAGATAGAATCCCAGAAAATTACTTTCAAGGAGTCCCACACAAACACAACAATTTTGTTTAAATAAGTAACCAAAATAATCCGCAAAAAAGCAACCTGACATCAGAAACTAAAGTGAAATATCACTTGGTCTAGCAATCCTGAATTGTTTCTCGTCTTACAGATACACAGTCAGTTAAAAAAAACAAACCAAAAAAAAAAAACGAGGAGTACTTGTGGCACCTTAGAGACTAACTAACAAATTTATTTGGGCATAAAACTTATGCTCAAATAAATTTGTTAGTCTCTAAGGTGCCACAAGTACTCCTCGGTGTGTTTTTTGTTTTGTTTTGCTGATACAGACTAACATGGCTACCACTCTGAAACAGTTAGTAAAAGTTTTTACACTGAGTTTACTTTGGTGAAACTGCAATGAAAAATAGAATTAAAAAAGCAGGTGGAGGAATATGACAGGCTTTCAAGTCTCCATTTCAGTAGAAAACAACTCTCCCTTGGATAAAAAATGCTCTTCTGAAGGAACATATGCCATATCCTGTCTGTTGTCTTTTTTTAATGCATTATGACCCTGTCATACAATGAAACACTGCAGGAGGTTCTGTTTTACCTAAGGAACAGCATGATTTGTCTTTGTAAACCAATATAAAACCCTGGTAAGCAAGCTGACTGGCAAATATTGGTTAAATGTTGAAAGAAGATAGTTCTGTTTTTATTATCTGTATTTTCCATGAACTGTAAAGTAGCATTTTCTTTTTTGAGAAATGTGATATTTATGAGCTGTGCTTAACTGACTGTGTAGAAAAATAAGCTATTAGCGCCTGATCCAAAGACAGTGGAAAGATTCAGATGACTTCAGTGGGCTTTGGATCAGGCCGTTACTATGATATAGTGATGAAATTACAAGTTCTATTCCAAGACGAGTAACATAAAGGAACACTGTCAATGTAAAGACCTTTTTTTATATTAGGTAATTTTAAAACATTGTCAGTTGCTAATAGAGTACCCCTTAAATATTATGTTCTGACTTTTTAAAAATCTAAATTCTGTTCAAAAATGTTGTGTGGGTTTTTCTGCTTTCCTGTTGATGTTTGTCTATTTCAGGAAGGATGAAAATGATTCACTAGTTGACAGTACACTGGAAAGTGTGAAACTGACAGTACTCAAAATGCTGTCAAATACACAAAGTAAATGGGCCATGAGAAAATAGAGAGAAATAGGTTTTCAGACAGAATTGTGATTTCAAGTTGATCGTGTTTTTTTAATCTGCTACTAAGTTATGAATATGCGTCAAATATTTAAGGGGAAAACTTTATTAGAAAATTATGGTTTAAAAATAAAAAAAAATCAATTTATGAATGTGTAAAATCCCAGAGATTCAGAGTTATGGTTGCATTTAAAAATAAAAAAGTGGAAATGCAGAGTTAAGTTATATCAGACAAAATTCTGCTCTGTGTTTGAGTCCTCATCCGCCCTACATCCAAAGATAGATAACTGAACATTGACACATTATAAACGTTCAACATTGGCAAAACCAGCCACATACCCCTACTGTACAATGCTATGCTTGACATATGCACATGTGCACTTGCTTGTGAGTTGCTGGTACCAAGCCCTGTGATTGCTCCTGTGATCATGGATTCTCAACTTGGGAGCTTAGGGCCCCAGAGTGGTCACAGCCACCTTCCCTTTCTTTATCTCTAGATGGGAATGAGAAAGAGTGTCCCTCTCCCCAGTGTTTTTATACCTAAGAGTGGCCATACTGAGTCGGACCAATGGTCCATCTAGCCCAGTATCTTGTCTTCTGAAAGTGGCTAGTGCCAGGTGCTTCAGAGGGAATGAACACAGCAGTGCAATTACCTCATGATCCATCCCCTGTTATCCACTCCCAGCTTCTGGCAAACAGAGGCTAGGGACACCCAGAGCACGGGGTTGCACCCCTGACCATCTTGACTAAAAGCCATTGATGGACCTATCCTCCATGAACTTGTCTATTTCTTTTTTGAACACTGTTATAGTTTTGGCCTTCACAACATTCCCTGGCAACAAGTTCCACAGGTTGACTGTGTGTTGTGTGAAGAAGTACTTCCTTTAGTTTGTTTTAAACCTGTTGCCTATTAATTTCATTGGGTGTCCTCTGGTTCTTGTGTTAGGTGAAGGAGTGAATAACACTTCATTACTCACTTTCTCCACACCAGTCAAGATTTTATAGACTTCTTTCATATTCCCCCTTAGTCGTCTTTTTTTCAAGCTGAAAAGTCCCAGTCTTTTAAATCTTTTTTCATACAGAAGCTGTTCCATTCCCCTAATCATTTTTTTGTCCTTCTCTGTACTTTTTCCAATTCTAATATATCTTTTTTCTGTTGTAACATGGTGTCACAGTATAAGAAATTGTTCTGGTTAAACTTTGGAGTACCAGGGTCCTTGCATTCTGAGTTATGTTGGTAGAAGTTGAGTGACTCAGGGCTGAATCTAGCCTATTTTGTCATTGTCTCCTACCAGTTGCTTCAGTTTTGGTAAAGTTAGATTGGGATTCTGATGAAAACTAACTTCATCCTCACTACCCATAATGTGAGATTATATATAGCACCAGCTCTATGCAACACTTGGATTACTCCTACAGACTCCTACAGGATCATGCCCTGATCCTGCAAACGCTTCCACATATGCTTAACTTTAAGCGCAGGAGTAATCCTTCAGTCATCATTTCAATCATAACTTCAATCACAAAGTGCTGGTGAGTGATCTGCAGAGGAAAAGAGTCTATTATAGCCCCAACTGCAGAGCTTTAGCACACTCTCAGTTTGAGTGGCCATCACAGTTTAGGATCAGGGCCTTCTTTAATATGCAGAATAAAACACATTGTAAATTTTTCTCCTCTTCGTTTTATGCAAGTGACAGAACTGTGCATATCTCAGACATTTTTGGCCCAGTGAAGCAATTCCGTTGCATTTTGTCTGTCTGTCTACCAGAGCCTGTGGTACAGTAGAACCTCAGAGTTGCAAACATCTCAGTAATGAAGGTTGTTCATAACTCAGAAATGTTTGTAACTCTGAAAAAATGGTATGGTTATTCTTTCAAAAGTTTAAAATTGAACATTGACTTAATGCGGCTTTGAAACTTTACTATGCAGAAGAAAAATGCTGCTTTTATCTGTCTTAATTTAAAAGAAACAAGCAAAGAAACTGTTTCCTTACCTGTCAAATCTTTTTTTAAACTTTTCCTTTATTTTTTAGTAGTTTATGTTTAACACAGTACTGTACTGTACTTGCTGTGTGCTGTTGTGTACTTCTGGTTCCCAATGAGGCGTGTGGTTGATTGCTTGGTCAGTTCGAAACTCTGGTGGTGTAACTCGAAGATTCTACTGTATAAGGGAGGAATGTTGGGGTTACAGAGAGTCCCTGAAATAGAGGGGGATGGCAGGTTGAGATACAGGGAGGTTGTGGCGGGGATGGAAGAATGCAAGGAGCCAGGTGTGTGCTGTGAGCTTAGCCTACAGAAGCAACAAAGTGCACAACCCTCTAGTTATGCATAGGTTTAACACACATGAAGGTTTCCACTTTCTATATATACGCTATCACACTCAATTTCATCGATACACTCATAGAAATAGCCGTTGGAAATTACTCGGAGAGCCTTTCCACATAAAATTGGAACAACTGACTGATTCTCTGTGTATGAAAGTTTTTGTTTCTGGTCTATCCAAGTTAGCTTGTGTCAGAGATTTGAAACTGCATGTGGTATAGACTACAAGTGTTTTCAGGAGATGGGAATAAATCATCGTGACAGACACTATCTTAGATCCCCACAGGAAACATTCTTTCGTTCAGGCTAGGCCAGCTTGATGCAGCTGATCCACTTCAGCAGAGCAGACCACAAACAGTCATGTTTCAAGATATATCTACAGATGACACTAGCAAAGGAAAACAGCAGAGTGACTGATAAAATAGCTGGTAGATCAGATAATGAATACACTTTTAATAGAATTAAAAGTAGGTCATTCAAAAAGCAGATGATTGAACTTGCATATAAAATGTCATCACTAGAACTTATAAATTGTGGTTATTACATTAGCAGAGATACAACTATTGCAATAAATTAACTTTTAACAGAATTAAAATCCATTCTTTGGACTGTCAGGGAAACTGAAGCTTGACCCTGCTGGCCTCTCTCAGACAAACTCCCCACCCCCTTACACTCTGAGTAAGAACTCCAGGATTGGGTCCTTTCTAGGGGAAAAAAATTTAACTCTGCTCCTATGCTGCTGTTCACGTAACCAGTCTGGGAAATTTCACTGTTGTTGTAAATAAGTATTCTACCCACTACATCAGTCCCATCATAATATCAAAGTGCCTTGCTACCCTGCACTTTGAATGGGTACCTTAGGTTTAAAATATAGTTGGAACTAGTTCACCTCACTGATTTGCAAGCCTGATCATTCTGAGATCTTTACTGGGAAGTAAGAATGGAGATTTCATTATTACTAAGCCTGTATTGTATTTCTGAAGTGGATTACAGGACATTGATGTATATTTTATGGTGTATTGTCACATATAATCAGAACTAAACTATCCTTGTCAGAGTAATAAACGGTATGTTTTGCCATGCAGGATCACTGATCTCCTCAATTGTCCTTGTTTTCTTGCTAAGTCACAAAAATCAGTAACCACCAGAAGTCTCCTAATCACTTGTGCAAATTTAGCATTTTCTATTGTGTGCATGTTTGTTTTCTCTCACCTCTTTTCTCTTAACAGTTGTATGTAGCCCATGTGCTAGCACTAGGCTGACCCTGCTGCAGAGAGCAGGCTCAGAAAAGTTAAAACGAGTCAATGAAAGCTGTGAAGTTAAAGTGAATTAAACTCTTGTGTGGGTGCTCTGATTCAGAAATGGTTTTAGCTCGCTATAGCTTAATCCTCTTTAGGATTTAATTTATGCTCATTAACTTCACAGCTCTAGTTGATTTGTCTTAACTTTCCTGAGCAGTTGGTTTCTTAACTTTGATGGAATTAGTCATTGAACAGAACTGGTTAAATAAACTGAAATGAAGAAAATATTCTCTCTGCACTTGTAGACGAGGCTACTGCAGTCAAAAGCTGGTTTAGCACATCAACAGATCCTGGTTTCAGGTGCTTAGCCAGTGACTTCCACCAATTCAGTGGTCTGACTTCCTTTAAAACTTGGCAGCAAAAGTGTACAGTATATTCCCAATTATCTGAGTCGCATGGGGAACATGGGTTTCATTTGACTAACTGGGAGTTTAGATAATTGAGAGGGCAGGAGCCATGCTGCCGCCAGGGACTCATTGTCCTGCTCCTCCTCGCAATCCTGGATAGGGGTCTCTGCTCTATTATCCGAACACCCATGTTATCTGTATCCCTTCCTGGTCCCCCAGCATGAGAGACATGCTATAGAGAGTATGTCTCTCATGCTGGGGGACCAGGAAGGGGTTCAGATAATGCAGAGGTTTGGATAATAGGGTTCTGGATAAACAGAAGTGTACTGTGCTGCTTAATATTCTTTTTTATTTAATTAAATAATTTGAATAGATTGTAATAAATGTAACCCTTAACATAAGTTGTTAACTTGAAGATAATTTTAAATAAATATTTTTTAAATAAACCTATATTTAATTTAAATTTAAAAAATCCAAATTAAATAACATTCTTCGCTTGCTTGGTTTTTTTGTGTTTGTTTCTAGAGCATTGATTTTTATCCACCCTAATGGGTGGTATATGTGCAGCACCACTCCACACAGCATTTTGACTCAGAGGCACACTCCAAAATCAGTTCCTCCCCTGTTTCCTTGCTGCTGTAACTTGTTACTGGCCAACAAGGAGGTTGTGTAGCCAAGGCTTTGCCCTTTTCCTTGCTCTTCCCAACCACTTCCTTCCCAGCTACTCTAGTTACAGCGGCTCTCCCAGGTCCCCGTTCCAGGCAGGCCACATAGTGTGGTGTTGGTGATTCTCACTCCCACGCATGGGCGTGTAACCCATGTCAGAACATAGTACCAAGGTGGCACAGGTTAATCATTCAGAAGTCAAGAAATTCCACAAGTGAGCATGCATGCTCACCCATTCCTCGGGCCCCCAGTACAGGGCCTGTGATAGTGAGGGGTGGCTTCACTAGTGTCAGTGGAATTGCACAAGTGTAAAATCATTGTAGCCAAAAGAAGAATCAGGCCCTGTATGTTTAATTATTAATGATCACACACTATTTCTCAAATGCAGTAGGCTAGACAGTACAGTACAGTAATTAATATCACTTTTCTGAGTATTAGATACCCGTGTCGCATTTCTGTAGCATTGTTTATTGCTCTATATGTGCCAAACAGGATGCCTGGAAGTCAGTCTTATAAAAATTACACAGCAAACTGTGTGTGCATGTGTGCTTGCTTATGTGTAATTTGCTTAATCTGTTTTTAAACCTTAACACACTAATTGCCTGTGTGCAGCTGTTACAGAATCACTTGGAAGGGAGAGGTTTAGAGCAGAGATTCCAAACCTTAGGAACATCAGGACCGTTTAAGGGGGATATGCTTGGTTCTTTGTCCTGCTCCTGCCACCTCTAGCCCTCCCTCCCCCCAGGCAGCTCTTTACAGTATTCTCTCTCACTGCAATCATTATGGAAGGAGGTGGAGGGCAGTGGTTATGTAGCACCAGCAACATGAGAGAAGAGAGAAAGAACATGTGGTAGCCACAGCTTCAGAGATCCTTAAATGAGGAGAGGGACACAGCCCAAAACTGGTGGCGGGAAAGAGAGGGAAGGAACAGCCCCAAACATAGGTGGGGAGTAACAGCCCCATTAAGACATAAGGACTGGAGAGGGGACACACCAAAATGGGAGCTGGAGGGACCACGGGAAAGAGCATGTAGAGAGCGGGAGACCTGAAAAGACAGAAGGGATAAACAGAGAGAGTTGGGAGAGAGGAAGTGAAAAACTGAAAGAATAGGACTGTCTTTTTGTTCTGTGTTTAGCGCCTAGCACAGTGGGCTCCTAGATGCTAGAGTAATACAAACAATAAATAAATTTAAAAAATGGGACTAAGAAAGTAAGGAGAAAATGGAGACGTAAGGCCAAATCTGCATCAGAAAAGGTTTGCACCGCTACCACAGCAAACCTTTCCAATGTAGACGAAGCTTCTGATGGCCAAAAAGTGATAAACTACTGTATACCAGTTCTCTGAGCAAAATAAACCCTACTTGCAAAAATACTTTTATGCCAGTATCACTGTTTACACTAGGGCTTTTGCCAATATAGAAGTTTCATTAGAAATTGTACCCCTAACTGACATTACTATTTTGACTGTAGACTTTGCCTAAATCAAATGCAGGAGAGGAGAGAATGTGATGGGGGCCATGAGAGAAAACAAAACCAAAATATTCAGAACCAAAACTAGGAAAAAAAACAAAACAGGGAAAAATCCAAAATGCAAAAATGTAAACCCAGGCAGTCAGAACGTGGCCACATGCAGCAGCTGTGACAGAGCATGAAGTGAAGGGGGAAAGGGAGAAAAAAGAGGCAATTAGTAAAAAGGCAGGTGAGCAGGACTCCAACCCATGAAGGACAGGGATCACTGGACTTAAGGAAAGTGGCCCTGATCCTGCTGGAAGGGAAATCAATGGCAAAATTGCAATAGGACAAGACCCACCCTTTGTGTGACTGTGCTTTCTGCCCTGACCCCAGTCGTGGCCTGCAGTTGGATGTCATGAAGAAAAGATGTGCATGCCCTTGGGACTTGCTCATTCAATTGCAGTACATTATGGTTGCGCAAAAGTGGCTTGTTTTTTAATGCTAGAAGAGTTCATTCTTTCACTATTTTCTTTTTTCTTTGAAGAGACTACAAATACATCCATTCCAACCACAATCGCACAATCCACTTCAAATACTTCAGCATGTGGTAAGTGTCTGATAACCCTTTTCCTGCTGGTACTATATAGGCAAGCACCAAAAAATACCCAAACAGAAAAATTAGACAACACTCCATAGACCGCGATTGAAACAGTGCATTTTATGGGGGTATTAACATTTTTGCAATGGGATGGCACAACTAAGAGACCTCCCAAGATAGATTTTTATTTTATTGGTAAAATTAAAGGTGACACCATTCTAGGTAACTTGCTGGCCACAAGCCATGAGCTCCCCAATGCCATAGGAAGAGAAGAATCAAGAAAACAAAATCTAAAGCTCCTTGATTAGTTTTCTTCTTGGTCGTTCTGAACTTTAGCAAACACACTCCATTTTAGTGCAGTAGAACAGTGAATAGGCTGTCTTGCAAGCAGTGGATATTTGTTTGAATTTTCCTACTCTGTAGTAGCCTGTGAATGTAACCAACAGGTGGGAATCCACGTGTCATGGGGCAGGGAAAGAGAGAGAAATTTCTGTTAGGATGAGGCTCCAGGGTAGATGCGCCATGGAAACGTGCGCTGTCTCCATGGAGCCTATATCACAAAACACTGCCGTTCAAACAAGATATTGGCAGTAGGAGCGAGCAACTCTGTTAAAGATATACCACCAGCTTCCGTATCCCATTCCTTGGGGAAAGAGCCTTCATACTTGGAGGCCCCCAAATCCTTATTTATAATAAAGTTATTCAGACTTTAATGCTTTATCGTTAGAGGGAGCAAGAGGCTTCATATTGCCAGGTGTATTATGGTAAAATAAGTCAATGTGTATAATTAATGGGTGGGAGCTGTAGACATAGAACCTTATACAGACTAACACGGCTACTACTCTGAAACTTGTAAAACTATGCTTCCCTACCCTAGACCCCTGCCCCATCCTTAGCAGAGCTGAAGGTATGAATTTTCTATGCAATTTTTAATCTGCTACTGAAACAAATTATCCATCTCATTTGATCTGCAACATTCCAGCCTTGGGTTGTTGCAGCGTGACATTATTAAAAGAGAACAAATCGTGGCAAGAGAACTGAGAAACTCAAAAGTCGTTTCTTGTGGGAGCTTGGCACAGACATGTTTCACCATGTCAGTAAAAGGTTGGTTGAAAGCTAGCACATCATACCACTTTCCACTGTGTGTTGAAGAAGCATTAGAAAATAATCTGTTGTCATGGCCCTCTGAAATTTTACACTTGAAAGAGGGAAGAGAAGGAAGTCTAGTTTCTTCTACTCTATGTCTATTTTTGTCACTTATTTGCTTTAATATCACAAGTAGATTACTACTTATTTATTATTTGGATTGTGGTAGCATGTAGGGGCCTCAGTCATGGACTAGGACCCCTTTGTGAGCTAGGTGCTGTACCAACATGGAAGAAAAAAACAGTCTCTGCCTCAAGGAGCTCTGTAAATCAAGGAGTTGTTATATCTTTGTTAAGAGCTACTTCTAAATCAGTTAACAAGTTCCAAGTACTCCTATTTCTGTGGATCTTGGTGATTACCAAGTAGCCCTGAGACCTGCAGCAATCAGGGAGGTGAGCAGTGGGCTGTGAACATTCTCACTTGGCTCATTACTAGAAATTCCTGTTGGGTCTTGAATATTGTCCTGAAGAATGTGGTGATTCATACAGATAAAACTCCATCTGCACTCTCCATAGCTGTTAGCATTTTGACTTAGGGATTCAGTAGTGGGTACAAAAAAAGAGAGAACAGAACATAATTTTACCAAAGCCTGGTAGCCTTGGGTAGTGGTGGAAATGGTGCATGTTTTAATTTCATTGTTTGCAGAATCCCTACTCAGGCATGCAAGCATAGGCATGAATGAAAGGGGAAACAGAGAGATTAGTATCTTACAGGTATCCTGTCTGCAACAGAGCTTGACATCACATATGAAACCATTGTCAAATGTGGATTGTGTTCACACTCTAGATGGTTCTTAAATCCAGGTTTCCTGCAGAGGTACTAGCTTTATTATTATTTGTATTGTGGTAGCAAGTAAAGTAAAGGCCAAAGTCCTATTGTGCTAGGCACTGTACAAACCTAACAAAAAGACCATTTCTGCTCAAACAGTTTACAATCTAGGTAAGCTTTAAGAGCTTGTCTCCACTTACCAGAGGATCGATGCATGACTGGGGGTCGATTTATCTGGTCTAGTGAAGACGCACTAAATCAATTGCTGATCACTCTCCCGTCAACTCCGGTACTCCACCGGAATGAGAAACATAAGGTAAATCGTCAGGAGAGTTTCTCCCATCAACCCAGCACAGTGTAGATGCCGCAAAAGGTTGACCTAATCTACATCAACTCCAGCTATGTTATTCACGTAGCTGGAGTTGCGTAACTTAGGTCAGCTGAGCCCTGTAGTGTAGACCTGCCCTAACACACACACACACACACCCCGTTTGAAACAGATTCGTAGATTTTAAGGACAGAAGGGACCACTGTCATCCTCTGGTCTGACCTCCTGCATAACAGAATTTCCCTGAATTAATTAGTGATTCAACTCCAAATCTTGTCATTTAGTTTTTTGTTAGAATAAGTTTTTTACAGTGTTGAAAAATTTTTCTACTTGCTAGCAGTGAATAGAAGAATCCTGTTTCCTTGAGAGAAAATAGGACTGGTTTTATTTTAAGAGGCAATCACAGTGATAATTATTAAACATGTCATACTGTGGTGCTTAAAATTATGGATGCATCTGGATGTATCACTAGATCTTTACACACTTGTGGTGAGTCGGAATATGCACTAAAAATTAGTATTCAGAATTGATACCTTCTTTATTCACCCTAAATATTTGACTGAAAGTGTCCAATATATCTTTAAATGCAGGTAACCTGTCATGCTTATGAATTGTGATTCATCTTTTAAAAATAAAACAAAATCATATGACATTTAATTGCATTATTAGTTGTTTTCCCTTTTTAAGTAATAAATATGAAATAATGCAATCTAGGTATGTTTATCATTATGCATATCAGAGTACAGCTGGACTTTTAGGGGAAAATGAACAGGCAAAGTAGAAAGATAAAAGGACAGATGTTTTTCTTCTGTTGCTCTCTGATGTTCTTTCATCTTGGATTGGTTGGTAAAATACTACGGGTAAGATTTTTTTTTTTTTTTTCCAAAACACAAAAGAAGAGTTGGGTGCCCAGCTCAGATTGACTTTCACTAATTCCCTTTTGTGCCTCTGAAAAGCTCACCGTTCACGTCTGGAAATGATTGAAACTAAATAAACTGCAAGAGGCTGGCGTATAAAAATATACCTCTTTTCTGCAAAGAAAAGGCTTACTGTGTCACTGAGCACTATCGTCTTGGTACAATGAGAAAAAACGTTCAGAATGGGACCGAGAGTGCAAACGTGCCAAGGGACTTTATCAAAATCCCTTTGAATAAGAGCACAGACATTTTTGGGGGGTGACTCAAGGTTTGTGTATTGTGGTTCAGTGTGTCTGCTCATGGCCTAGGAACCACATCTGTATAATCCTATATATATATATATATATATAGGCCATGAGCAGACACACTGAACCACATATATATATTACTACACATTATTCAATTTGGCATGTTTGGAAGTGATGGACTTTTAAAAAATAAAAGCCTATGACTCCTGTTTTGTTTTATCTTTTGGAGTAGGAGAGCAGTTAGCACTGCTGTATGATAGAACTCTATATGTCTGAAGATCTTCCTAGGAGGATGTCTGAAACCTTCCTGTAACAAGGAGCCAGTTAGGAGACACTGCTCCAGTTCAGCCCCAGAATTCAGTAAAGAACATGTCGTTCATTTGAAAAGAAGCTACATGGCTCCTTCAAAGAAAGACAATCTGCATTGCCAGCCAGCGTCGTCTTTGCTCTCCCCGTGGTTGGGGTTCAAGAGTACAGCCTGCACATCGTATAGGAGACATAGCCAGAGTGGAGTTGTTGGGGTGGCACGTGTTGGGGAGAGGTTTATTTGTGGGTATTGAAGAAAAATCAGCATCTGTGGGGTGATCCAAAGCCCATTGGAATCAGTGGGAGTCCTTCTGTTGATACAGTGAGCTTTGGATCAGGACATTAGGACACACCAACAGCTCCAATTTCTGTTAATGGGACTTGCACAAAGACATCAAGTGTAGATTATAAACCAGTGTTTCACCATGTATTAATTATGTGGCAGAAGGAGCTGCAGCCAGGCACTCTGCCATCTGCAAGTCAAAACAAGATGTAAGCAATAGGTAACTGAGGTTTTGTAATGCATTTTAATGCCAAAAAAACCTTGATTTTTACGTCTAAGCATACTTGGATTTATTGGTATTTTTTTCTTCCTTTTAGATAAAAATGTCACTCTCACAACTATTTCAGGTGAGTTAAATTTCTAAATTGTGTGATAACCCTTTTTAATTACGCTTTAAGCTTTTAATGGTGCAGTCAAGTTCTTAATCATTACTAATTTTGCTGTTGTTAAAAAAAATCCTACAGTTGATCTGGTTGGAGTTCATATATTATGCCCTTTAAATTACGTATAAATAGTGCTATGATTTTCTATTTTTGTTTATATAATATTTGATTGGTTGAACCACTTACTGTTTTGGATTAATCTGTGAAATACAGTTTATTGCATATGACCCTGATTCCATGACAGGATTCATTATCTTAGAGGTGAAAGAGCATATGGTATTGCTAGAATGGCTGCAAGTTGAGCACGCTATTGTCTAGATTGGTCTCTAGCTTCTATACGTACCTCCTTCAGTTGCTCATGATTTTCTCAAACAAATTTCTTGTGTGTGAGTGGGGGAACACTGAATAGAAACAGCTGAGTTATTTTTGAGTTTTTAATGGGGAAAAAACCTTACGTGCTTCTCCCTATATGTTCTGATGAAACATTTTGTACAGTGATTACTCAAACGACTGGAGCTACAAAGTTCAGGGTTGCTCTCTTTTGTATCTTTGGAGCTCACTGAAACCAAGGAATAAGCCAAGTTTCAAGAAAGCGGTTGAATAATTTTAAAAATTAACATTAGAGATTTCTTGCATTTTAGAATTTAGCTGCATGTGCTCGAATTTGCTTTGTGTTAATCTGCATATAGAATTCTAGTTTATATACTATAGAGTATTATTTAACAGATATGTAAAGAGAGACCATATTTTAAGGAGTATGGGCATATGCATAAGAGAACAGAGTTACAGTTAGGTTTCAACTTTACCATTTCATGAAATTCGGTGTTTGATTTATCAACCTGAGCGTTGTAGCGGTGACCCAAGATGGTTGTATGGAATATATGTTAATTTTGTCTTTTTCATGACTGAATAACTGCCATAATTAATATTTCCATTTCTGTTTTCTCTGTGGTGAAAAGTACAGTGAACATCGTATAGAAAAGTACAGTGAACATTAGTATAAGAAATCCATCCTTTATATTGTTGTATTTTTTATTCCAAATGACTTCAGAACACTTTTAAAACACAAGAATCACTTCACCCACCACTGAAATTCAGACACCTATGGGGTGAGACATCACCGTTATTTATTGTTGCATAGGAACACTAGGTCATGAGCTGAAGAATATTGTAGCCAGTTATACCTTTTCGGGGAATTTAGGCAAAATTTAGGTAGCTGCATTGAAGACTATTGCCCCATGTCGCTCCTCAGTGACCACAGTTGGACACATCTCATTTACAAGGCAGCATCTTCAGAAGCACTGCGTCCCCATCACTGGGTTAGGGCATTGGGTCTGTACTGATTCAGAGGGAAGGGTTACCTTGCTTATAGCCATACTGAATTTGTTGCAGGCTATTATGCGTAAGCACTATTGGCTCATGCCTAGGAACTCCAGCTTCAGTGGCATTTGTGCACTCTAGACTGATGATATGAAGGCAGGTGTAGTTGTTACCAGGGGATAATTTGCTCTGCAGACCATCTATTACTGGTAATGATGGGCTCTTGTTTGACTCTGGATTTTGACTCGAGATCTACATTAAATTGAGGCTCTGTGACAGATTGCCTGTATAGCCCCAGGCAAGTCAATTTCCAACCAGTGCCTTGGTTTCACATCTGTAAAATTGGGACAGTGCAACTTCTGTACCATACATGTTATGAGAATAAATTCACAGTATCATTCAGATACTATGGTGATGGAAGCCATGTAAGCACCTGGAGGCAGTGTCATGTAGTGGAGAGAGCACTGGACTAGGATTCTGGAGACCTGGGATCTGTTCCTGGCTCTGCCACTGGCCTGCTGGATGATCTTGAGAAAATCACTTCCCCGTCCCGTGCCTCAGTTTCCCCATCTGAAAAATGGGGATAATGATATTGCCTTCATTTGTAAAGTGCTTTGGGATTTGATGATGAAAAGTGCTATATAAGAGCTGGGTAAGAACCGAGCTCAACTGTCAGAGCCCAGGGTGTAATGTGGTGAGGAGAAAGGGCATGTCCAGGACATGGGTGACAATCCAGTGAATGCACGTTTGTGTGGTCACCAGTTGTTTTAATCATGCTACCACCCAGTAACTGTGGCTCTGTCAAGTGTGTTTAAGACCTTCTCTTCAAAGACAATGCCAGCAAAGCCAGCTCCAGCAAAGCCAGCTGGTGACCAAAAAGTCTTGAGGGTCCCAAAGGTATCTATCTCTAGCATACACTGGCAACAGTGGTCCTGGCCAGTCCACCTACCAGCAGTATGAGCCTCATCCCAGTTTACTCCACTGTACTGATTATAAGGAACAAAACTCAGCAACCTTTCTGGTAGCTCAGCACTACATTTTGTCAACGCTTGTACCCTCCCCTGCAAGTTCAAGCCCTAAGTGAAATCTTAAATACCACCGATGGTAAGGGCTGTTTTGATATTTACAGATGATTATGCCATTTGGAGGGTTTGCATATCATTTTTAAAATGTGTTCTGTATTTTACTTAATGTGTTTTACACATGCTTCAGAGAGGAGCTGAATTTCCTAATTGCTACAAGGTAAGCACATGAATGGAACAGCGCCAGATATTTAATCTGAATGAATGTTGCCTTTGAACTGCACATGAGGGATATTATGTGCCATCTCGTAATATCAAAGGAGAGTGATAAATAAGATGCATTATGGGGATGGTGTAGTGTTCTCTACCATATATTTTCTAACGTTTTGACAAGTCCAGTTTTAACTTTCTCAAGGAGTAAGGTTTCTACCACTTCCCTTTTAAAGTTTATTTCACAGTCTGGTAGATCTGTACTGCAGCCTCTCGTTTCTTTTTCTTGTTCTCAGCTGCATTTGAAGCAGTGCTACTCAATCTTTGGGAGAACTTCATTCCTAAAATCAAAATGTGGCTTCTCAAGTTTTAAATAAAACTTCTCTGTAAGAACAACATTCTGTAAGAGGCTATATGGTGCTGAACAAGGAATGGAAACTGGGTGCCAGTTTATGTGTGTAACTAAAATGAAACCAGTTTATTTTTCTTCATTAACTTTATTGTTAGTCAATTCAAGAAAATATTAGTATTACTGTAAAATTGAATAATCTAAAATATTAATCCAGATAAGTATAAATGTTTCATTTTATCTGGATGAACCTTAGATGCTATATGGTTATATAAATAATGCAAAAGTAGCCAGCTATGAATAGAACTTTGCATATAGTAATTTGGGAAGAAAAGTGGAAAACTCTTTTGACCAATATTATCTGTTTGGGGAAATGTTAGTTATATAATGTTTTAGTGTTTTACATTAGTGCTTTATTTTAGGAATGACCTTTTCTCAAGATTTTTCTGCTCTTCTACTTCAGTATTCAGGATTTCATTATATCAGATATAGCATATTACTCTCCTCTATTTTTATATGTTTCCCTATGGTATTTTTATTCTGAACACGTCACTGTCACTTTCTTAAGAGTGAGAGTGTTTGGTAAAAGTGAAATTAAAGTTAGAGAGAGCACGTGTCAGTCAGAACTTGTGAAACAGCGTTCTATTCTTTGTTTGAAGTTCCACAAGACCATCCGTTTCTGAGGAGACAGTATAAATAGCTGTTCTTTATGCAGTATTACTTTAGTTTAATTTTCACCATAACAGGGAAGACCATAAGGAATCCTGGGTCTAATATATGTCCAATAGCTATTCTTTTGTGCTGTAGTTTCAGAAGTGATACAAAAAACAAGTCTTGTGGATAGGGGGAAGAGGCAGATATGGTATCTCTTGACTTTAGTAAGACTTTTGATACTGTCTCACATGACCTTCTCATAAACAAACCAAGAAGATGCAACCTAGATGGAGCTACTATAAGGTGGGTGCATAACTGGTTGGAAAACCATTCCCAGAGAGTAGTTATCAGTGGTTCACAGTCAAGCTGGAAGGGCATATGAAATGGGGTTCTGCGGGGATCAGTTCTGGGTTTGATTCAGTTCAATATCTTCATGAATGTTTTAGATAATGGCATAGAGAGTACACTTATAAAGTTTGCAGATGATACCAAGCTGGGAGGGATTGTAAGTGCTTTGGAGGATAGGATCAACATTCAAAATGATCTGGACAAACTGGAGAAGTGGTCTGAAGTAAATAGGATGAAATTCAATAAGGACAAATGCAAAGTACTCCGCTTAGAAAGGGACAATCAGTTGCACACATACAAAATGGGAAATGACTGCCTAGGAAGGAGTACTGCGGAAAGGGATCTGGGGGTCATTGTGGCTCACAAGCTAAATATTAGTCAACAGTGTATCACTTTTGCAAAAAAGCAAAGATCATTCTGGGATGTATTAGCAGGAGTGTTGTAAGCAAGACACAAGAAGTAATTATTCCGCTCTACTCTGTGCTGATTAGGCCTCAACTGGAGTATTGTGTCCGGTTCTGGGTGCCATATTTTGGGAAAGATGTAGACAAATTGGAGAGTCCAGAGAAGAGCAACAAAAATGATTAAAGGTCTAGAAAACATGATGTATGAGGGAAGATAGAAAAAATTGGGGAACATGATAACAGTTATCAAGTAAATAAAAAGTTGTTGCAAGGAGGAGGGAGAAAAATTGTTCTCTTTAACCTCTGAGGAGAGGACAAAAAGCAATGGTCTTAAATTACAGCCAGGGCGGTTTAGGTTGGACATTAGGAAAAAGTTTCTGACTGTTAGGATAGTTAAGCACTGGAATAAATTGCCTAGGGAGGTTGTGGAATCTCCATCATTGAAGATTTTAAAGAGTAGATCAGAAAAAAACCTGTCAGGGATGATCTAGATCAGTGGTTCTCAACCCGTGGCCCACTTACGGCCCAGTCAGCACACAACTGCAGTCAATGTGATGTCATCAGAGCTGAAAAGAGGTAGGGCATGAGGGGCACCTGCCCCATGTGCAGAGCTAGCGGAGAGGGTGTAAAAATGGGGTGATGCAGTATCAGGCCCAGTGGCATCAGCCCCCCCATCCTGGCAGGATTGGGCACAGCAGCATTAGCAGGAGGCCAGGGTAATCAGCTCCCCCACACGCTGCAGGATCACGGGTTCAGTGACACCGGCTGGAGTAGGCTCCCCAGCCCTAGGACAGCAGCAGCTGGCAGGCTGCATGGCTGAGCTACCTGCTGCCGAGGTAGGAGACCAGTGGTCACGGGGGTGTAGGGAGTAGAGTGTGGAAAGCAGGGAGGAGGATGCAGGGGGCTAGGATCACGGGGGGGGGGGGTGCAGCTGGGTCCTTGGGGCAGACTCTAGGTGTAGGACTGGTGGACTGGCAACAGTCCCTGGATGGGAGGGTTGAGAGCTGAGGGGCAGTCTTTGGGGAGGCTTGGGGGGAGTTCCTGGGAGGGAGACGTGATGCTGGAGGGAGCAGTCCCTATGAGGAGGGGCGTTTTGCCCTGGACAGGGCACCCTGGCTCTGCAGGAAAGGCATGTGTGCCAGCCCAGTGTTGGTAGGGTCTGGATGCTGGGGTTGGGTGATGGGTGAGGGCAGCCCCTGGGTGGAGGGGGGGGCTGGGTATATGGAGGAGAGTCCCTGGCTGTAGGGTGCCCGACACCAGCCAGGGTTCCCCATCTTTGCAAACAGGCTCTGCAACCGTGCTCTCTGGGCGCTCAGTGCAGCCCCGCTGCCAGAACCCCACAGAAGTGAGGGTGGTAATATACCATGGAATGCCACCCTTACAAATTAAAATTAATTAATTTTAACAGTTAATGTTTTGACTCATTTTGCTGATTTAAAATGCTCTTGGTAGACGTTTGCCAGTGTTGAAATGAAAGCTATATATCGATTTGAATCGTATTGCTCTCATATAGCAAATATTAAACCTTTTTTTTTTTTTTAATGGTAGCTGTACAGACAGTATATATATTGTGTGGCTGCGGCCCACATAACACAGAGAGCTTCATATGGGACCCACAATGGTAAATAGGTTGAGAACCATTGCTCTAGATAATACTTAGTCCTGCCATGAGTGAGGGGGACTGGACTAGATGACCTCTCAAGGTCCCTTCCAGTCCTATGATTCTAGGATTAATTAAGATTTGTCATGTTGAAAACTCTAAAAGATCTCAGTCCTGCAATCAGTCACGCAGAGCCCTGATTCAGGAAAGCACGTAAGCACCTGCGTAACTTCCGCAGGAAAGCATGTGCTGAAGGGCTTTCCTGATTGGGGTTACTTTCCTAAATTGAGGTCATAATTAGGAGTAGGGTTGGGCACAGAAATCTCTTGATATAAATAGGGTTTGACACACCACTTCAAGAGGAACTTATGAATTTAGGAATAATCACTGAAGCCTGTTGGAGTTTTGCCATAGACTTTAATTGGAACAATGTAAATATACTGGTATTTTATAGCAAAATTGTTTTTCAAAGCCAGATTCCTATCGCATTTAGATCAGTGTAAATCCAAATTAATTCTGTTGAATTCAGCAGAGTCACTGAAATACACTTGTGAAATTGATCAGAATTTTTCCTATTTTTTTGGGTTGGGGGGGCCTTACAACCATAATATTCTTATTTACAATATTCTCACCTAATGGACATGAGCAGAATTGAATTCACAAGCACTTTGGAATTCAGATGTTAAAGGGACACAGATGAAAGTGAACAATTGTTGCTAACAATTTGCAGAAGTCAAACCCACCTCTCTTCCTACTACCTCCAAACCACTGTTATGGCTCTGAGCTCAAGTTAAGAAAAAGAAAAAGCAGGATGAAGAAATGCATCATGTGTAATGAACTCCCAAATGTGGGCTCTAGCTAGGCACAAGACAGAGCAGATTACACAGCAGAGGACCCTGTCACCCACTTCTGGAGGTCAGCACTGGGGACTAGCAGTTTAGGAAGTGCATGTGGGTAGATGGCCTCTGAAACCCAATAACAATGTGCTGGAGCATAGGTGCCTGCGGGAGCAGAACAATACCCAAAGCGATTAACGTGATCCCTCCTTTCTGAAGGGATAATCTGCCATTTTGTAAGGGAGCAAAAATAGCTATTTTTTGACATAGGGAATCTTTCAAAATAGTGTTAATCAAAAGCTGCGATTTCATTCACAATTAGCATAATCTTTTTAAATATAATTTTCCATGTGATATCATTATTGTACACTGTTTATAGGTTCTACCAAAACAATCACCACCCAGACAACCACCACCCAGACAACTACATCAACCACCATCTCGAAACCCACAACAACCATACAATCAACAGCCAGTGTCACAGTGACCACTTCCAAGACTATGTCTCCTTCCAGCTCCGTAACAGGTATATACTATAGACTGCTGCCTGTTTCCCACAGTATGCTAACTTACATTCTTCTGTTATCTACATCACTCTGCCGTCTTGAAAGCTTGCTCTAAGTATCTCCAGTTACTTTAGCATTAGGAAAAGGCCATTTGACCCAATGTGCATTTGAAGTTTTTAAATGGCACAACCTGTTGGTGAATTCATATTCAGGAAATAAACATGCCAGACTTACAGTTAATTGTAGTTTTATCTGATTGGGCATTTTAGACATGTTTTTCCATTGTTTACGAACTGTAGCATTCAAAATTTCCTTAAAAGAATGAAGAATCTACTGAGTTATTGGTGTAAATCTTGAGTAACTCCACAGAAAGATTTACACAGGTATAATTGAGGTCAGATTCTGACCTGTCAACACTTAAATAAGAAGGAAGTTTTGTTAGGATGACTTAAGAACTTAGGACTCTGAGTCAGTTTTGAAAATGTTACCTGGGACTTTGAAATGGGCATCCCACTCCTTGAAGACATTTTGAAAATCCAATCCTCAAGCTAAAGTAAGGACAGTGTACTTAAAGGTTAATGTAAGATTTGACTGTTTTGGTTTTTTTTTGTTGAGGTATTAGGGGGTGGAATTATATCTCATATACTGTGTTAGTGGTGACTCAATATTTTGAGTTCAGAGGCACTTGTGTTTTACAAGAACAGTTAACTAATATGATGGCTTGATTGTTCATGCTGGATTAGATCGTTTATACTGACCTACCAGCAGGGTACTTTTTTAGCAGCTGTTTATCAGACCTTCATATGACCAAAATATATCCTTTCTCTACTGCTATGAAAATTGAAATTGAAATCAACAAAAACATTAGTACAAACATAGTAAGTAACAACTATGCATTGGAAAGGTGACACACATAAGTCTCTCTTATCTCTAGCTTCTAGTATTCTTTGTTGATACCAGCTAAGCCAGTCACACTTGTTGAGTTCAATTAGTTGATGACTTACAACCTCCAGATGCTGGAGAAGAATTTCCAAGAATTATCTCTGTGCCAATAACAGGGAAAAGCTGTAATGACAACACCATCTTACCATCTGACAACAGTTATACAGTTACCATTCTGTTAGTGTGCTGGCAGTGAAGCCAAGAAAGGCTCTACTTGTTTGCTAAAAAGAAGGGCCATTCTCTCTTCTAAATGAGAGCCATGTTGGGTGAAAGCCTGTTATAGAAGATAGCAGGAACTCCGCAGGAGGCTAAAGAACTCAGTTTCTGTATTTCTGTCATTCCTTCAGTTCTGTTTTATCTAAAGGCAATAATTCAGTTTGGGAGAGGATTTCATCAATAGTGCCAAATCTAAATTTCCAGTTGAACTCAACTAATATTCCAAATAACCTGTTTTCGCCCAATACAGCTCCTATGCATAACAGTTCCACTTAGGAAGTATAGGCCCTAATGAGCTTATTTAATACCACATACCTGGATGGGTTATTGGTGGCAGGGGTTGAATTTGGGACTGCTAGATCTAAACACATGAGCCTCTACTCCCTGAGCTGAAAGACCTAGCTCTGTTAGCCAAGACTGTGACAGACTCATGAACCCTTATGTGTGGCCAGGCACCAGTAGAGGGGGACAGTGTGCCACACTGAGTGAGTTACACTTTATATGAGTACACGTTGTCAAATGTGAACATAAAGCTGTCAGTGTCAATGTTTCCTAGCAGGCAGCTGCTGACCCAAACCACTTTCACCATTGTCACATTGACACTTATAAGCAGATCAATGTGCTTCAAGTTAGGTGAAGTCTTTTAACATGGGAAGTGCCTGTTAACCTCAGCAAGTGCCATCACACATTTGGTTGGCCACATCAGCTTAAATTGCATCTTTTGATTGGGATGTTCGATTGGTTAAACCACTCTGGGATTGGAATCTGCCTGGGCGAAGGTGTGGGGTGGGTTACCCAGGTGCATGATCTCTGGGACAGGAATCTGTCATAGGTGGATGGTGATTGTGCAGTTTTCTGTTGGGACGAATAGCTGTATCTACAGGTGGGAAACCCAGTTTTCCTAACCCACTGAGTTAGGAGTTAAGGCTGAGTCTTGATTCAGGTAGACTAGTAATTTTTAAGGAAAAGTGTATGGTAAGAATATATCATAGCTCAAGAATCTATGGAAATGAATATTCAATTATGATTGATCAGTTTGTGTTTGCTGTTCCAAAATTCCAGCCTTCCTGTAGATCTCTGGAAAGCACCAACCTTGAAGAGAGTTTGTTGTGCTTTCCACTCCATGCCTGGCAAGCTCCACTGACTGGGGCAGAAAGAGGTGTTGAGGTAGAGGGAGTTGCCTGCCAATTGGACTCTTGCCAGCCCCTTTGCAAGTGTATAAGGGAGCAGAGTGGCTCCTAGTGCCATCCTCCTCACTCACTGTGTGTGCTGAAGCTGGCCAGAATCTGGCACTTAAGAATGTGGCTCTGGGTTCCAGTGGAGTTGGTTGATATTTTACCAGCAGCACAGTATAAAGTCGTCACCTGAGGTCCTGAGATGATGTTATGATTGGGCAGAGGGTATATAAGAACCTAGACGGAGAGAACTGGAGTCACAGTACATTACAGCAAAAGTTACAAGCGTCATAAAAACTTTCTTTTTGTTTTCTTCTTAGCCACGCCAAAATCTGCAGCTGTGCTATCCAGAACCTCCAGATTTGATGTGGGCAGTTTTTTCGGTGGCATTGTGCTGACACTTGGAATGCTAGCCATTCTCTATGTTGGGTGTAAAACATATCACTCGAGAAGAGGTGTTCAGTACAGAACCATGTAAGTTTTTTGGAGGTGTGTTCCCCTGTTAATTTGTTGGTTTCTTGTTGGAAATGAAGAGAAGAAAATGCTCTACTTTCTTGTTCAATGCAGATTTTTTTTAAAAAGGCAGGCCAGTATCTCAGCCGCTTAGAGCCTTCATCAGTTTCACCTCAACTGATCCTCATTTATTCATGGGGCCTATTTTTTATTAGGGATTTTCTTGCTTAGATTTTACGCTACTTGTTTGTACAGTGTCAAGCACAATCACCATTATGCTAGGCACTGCAATAATACAAATAATCATTCTAATCTGTTCTATAAATTCCTTTCTTACTCCCCTGCCCTTTAGCTAATCTAAATTCATTCATTCTGGTTTTTTGTTGTCCTTATTTATGTCCCTGAAAGTTCTGACGGATTCTAATCTTGTTCCCGTTTCCTTCTCCATTTCCACTATAGGGTTAGGGTTGGGTTTTTTTGGGGGTGGAGGGGTTACCCCTAAGATACTTCTTTTGAGAAGTTCCTCAGAAAGATATATTGATCATCTCTTGTTCTCTGCATTCTTCTTTTGTGTAGTGCTATTACGCTGTAATTGTGCTGCCTTTTAGAACCTCCAGCCCTCTTCCAGAATTTTGCATGTTAATATTTACTAGAATTCTTCACTGCTGAATATTTCTTCCATGAACTCTGATGCCTGAAGAATTCTCTCTCTCACCAACACCCTTTTCTCTCCCTCACACCCGCACACTCACCAGTCCTATCATTTCTTCGTATTATGCGTATAGCTACTCTTCCTCTACTTTCCTCTCTATCCCTCCTGTACTTATTGCAACCTATCTGTGGTGACATTCCCACTAGCTGAATGTTCAATAAATAATCATTTGTCAACACTTTTATTTCTTCTTCCTAGTTTCTCATTCCTTTCCATCTGCATATAGACGCTTTTGACGGTATTTTTTCTTATTCTTCGTTTTCTGTAGTAGAGTATTTCTATCTTCTATGTTCTCCTGGATGTATTGGATGCACATGCCAGATTCTTGGAATTAAATGACTATCCCTCTTTCCCCCTTACAGTCTACCATAATTTACAGACTGGCTAACAAGCCAGTTTTGAATCCAGGGTTTGTTACCCCACCTGCTTAAGCAGAGACTGTCTAAATCAGTCATCTGTCATCACAGAAAGCATTCCAATGATCTATAGCCAACATTTACAAACTTACGCCTAACTTTGGGCACTCGTGTTTGAAAATGTTGAAATGAACCTCAAATCCTCCCCTCTACAATATAGGCACATCCACTGGTTTGTCTCCTATCTTATTCTTGGCTCTCCAAGAGATCACATGTATTGAGTCTGCCTTCAGGTCTCTTCCCAAATCCCTGAAGTCAAATAACTTGGTCTTTTGTTTGTCTTACCTAACACTCCCTTCGCTTGTTCCTATATGGGTTAGAGTTAGTGGAAATGGCCCTATCATTTTCCAGGTTTCTCATCACATGCATTATCAGATCATAGAATCATAGGCTTGGAAGGGACCTTGAGAGGTCATCTAGTCCAGTCCCCTGCACACATGGCAGGACTAAGTATTAGGATCCTTCATCCTGGTACCTGTTTCTTTATATGGGTCACATCTTGGGCTGGGTTCCTTGCTGTAGAGCAGGGGTGGGCAAACTACAGCCCATGGGCTGGATCCGGCCCCTAGGGGCTTTGGATCCGGCCTGCGGGATTGCCACCGCTGTCATACCACGCCACTCCAGGAAGCAGTTTTTCCCTGCAGCCCCTGAGGGTGGGGCTGGGGAGCACAGAGCTCCGCACACTGCTCTTGCCTGTGGGTACCTCCCCCAAAGCTCCCATTGGCCAGGAACAGGTTACCGCGGCCAGTGGGAGCTTCGCAGGAGGTATCAATGGGTGAGGGAAACATGCAGAGCCCTCTGCGCCCCCCCCCCAGGGGCCGCGCAGGGACGTGGTGCCCGCCACTTCCCGGAGTGGCGTGGCGCAGGGCCAGGGCAGGCAGGGAGCCTGCCCTGGCCCCAGTGCGTGCTGCTGCCACCCCGGAGCCGCTCTAGGTAAGCAGTGCCGGGCCGGAGCCTGAACCCCTCCTGCACCCCGCACCCCAACTCCCTGCCCTGAGCCCCCTGCCACATCCCATACCCCTCCTTCACCCCAACCCCCTGACCTGAGCCCCCTCCTGCACTCCACATCCCTCCTGCACCCTAACCCCCTTTCCTGAGCCCCCTCATAAACCCCGCAACCCTCCTCTGCCCCAACCCCTTGCCCTGAGCCCCTTCCTGCACACCGCACCCCCGCACTCCACCCCCGCACCCCAAGCCCCTGCCCTGGCCCTGAAAGCAATTTCCCCTCCCAGATGTGGCCCTCAGGCCAAAAAGTTTGCCCTCCCCTGCTGTAGAGTCACTAATTAGAATCACTTGCCTCTGCTTTCTTTTTTAATCCCATGCAGTACTTGTTTCTTAGTCACTGATCAGGCTACTGCATATTTTTGGTTTATTAGAGCTATGTTACTCCTTCTTGTAGGGGAACAACAGCTATTTTGTCAGGACATATTTGAACTGTATCGGTTCAGAGAATGTCTTTTGCTTTTCTTGCTAAGCTGCCTTCTCTCTTTTTTTCATTGTGCACTACTGCCCAAACTGTAATCTCACCCTGGGGAGTTAGACCCTCTTGGTCAGAAGCTGGAACATCTTTACACTGGATTGCCTTACTCCCTATGGTTTCCATTCTCCATGTCAGTTGAAGGTGTTTGTTTTACTTGCAGTGAATTGTTGGAACTTGATAGTGTCAAAAGAAAAGGAGTACTTGTGGCAGCTTAGAGGCTAACCAATTTATTTGAGCATAAGCTTTTGTGAGCTACAGCTCACTTCATCGGATGCGTACTGTGGAAAGTATAGAAGATCTTTTTATACACACAAAGCATGAAAAAATGGGTGTTTACCACTACAAAAGGTTTTCTCCTCCCCCCTCCCCCCCACAAACCCACTCTCCTGTTGGTAATAGCTTATCTAAAGTGATCACTCTCCTTACAATGTGTATGATAATCAAGGTGGGCCATTTCCAGCACAAATCCAGGGTTTAACAAGAACTTCGGGGGGGGGGGGTAAAAAAAACAAGGGGAAATAGGTTACCTTGCATAATGACTTAGCCACTCCCAGTCTCTATTCAAGCCTAAGTTATTTTGTATCCAATTTGCAAATGAATTCCAATTCAACATAAGCTATTACCAGCGGGAGAGTGGGGTGGGGGAGAGAAAACCTTTTGTAGTGGTAAACATCCATTTTTTCATGCTTTGTGTGTATAAAAAGATCTTCTATACTTTCCACAGTATGCATCCGATGAAGTGAGCTGTAGCTCACGAAAGCTTATGCTCAAATAAATTGGTTAGTCTCTAAGGTGCCACAAGTACTCCTTTTCTTTTTGCGAATACAGACTAACACGGCTGTTACTCTGATAGTGTCAAGGGATTCTGGTACATCTCCCTCTTTTGAATTCTGTTTGCTGGTCACAGGATCCATTGAGTCACGGCTCCACCCCCTCCTTATCATCAGTGACTCTTCCAACACCCCACTGTTCAGCCAGCCTCCACCAACCATCTCCAAACAAAGAAGCACATGCAAGAATCCTCAACTAGCTCTTATTTTCAGCTATTCCTTTCCCAGTATTGCCAATCCTAAGCATTCAAAAATCATGTTTCAGCCCCTTCTTCCCCCCCCCAGCCCCAAGATCATAAGATTAGCTTAAAAATCATGATGTTAAAAAATGGGCATTCTTTTTATGTGCCTTTTGTTTTTTGAGTCTTTTGATTAGTGCATTTTAACCTTTTCTCCACAACAATGAGGACTAGAAACATCTTTGTTTTAAATGAAAGTTGAGATGCCTCATGAACTCACATGACTCCAGGGGGTGGGCTTTGAGAATAACATCATATCTTGTGGAAGTCATCATGAAATTGGGAATTGGCAACACTGCTTTTCAAAGCACTGTAGCATTAGTTGCCCCTGTCCTTTCACAAGAATCGCTCGACGGAATACTCCTCTCTGATTTTACTCTCCTCTGTTTTTAAAAACGGTCTTGTCTTTATTTTTCTTGTTAGACCTGTGTGGACATTTAGGAAATAATGACCCCATTGTCAAAAAAGCTATTGATAAAAAGCAGGTAAAATGAGGTATTTGATCGATTGGAACATATGATATACCAATTAGTGAGTGAAATGCACCCTGGAAGTTAAGGGCTGGTTAATGAACCTATCAAATGAGTAAAATCTGTTTTGAAAGGGGTGTGAGTAACTGGAGAAGTATTAGACAAGTAGGAGAAAAAAAACAAGTGTTCCTCAGAAGTGGTGTCCTGGTAGTTGCCATTTGGCATCTTTAAGGCCAAATGCTAGGAAAATCTAGAAGAAATTGGAGAAAATATAAAGAACAGATATCAAGGGCCTTATTTTCAGCGCAACTGAGCACCAGGAGATCCCTCCTGGACTTCAGTTGGAGTTTTGGATGCTCAGCACTTCCCAAAGTGAAGGCTGAAAAGGATAACACAACTGTAAGCAAGAAGCAGTGCAGGTTTATAGCAACAAACCAGGCTAAATAAACTTAATTGTTTTTTTCTGATAACATTTCAAAATTATTGATTAAAGAGAAGGTAGATGACGATCTGCCACCAAAACTCTCAATGCCGTCAACTATTATTATACATCAGACAGTTTATTTTGATTACAAGTTCTCCATCATGAGCAAAGCAGCTAATCCAGGCAGTTATTACACATCAAGAAATTTATTATCAGAATGCCCTATATTAAAATCCTGTTATTTATTAATAATTATTTTTATTGCAGTAAGACCTATAGATCTCACCCCAGTTGTACTCAGCACAATACAAACGTAACAAAGAGATGATCTCTGCTCTGAAGAGTGTACAATCCGTGGGTCAGTGGAGGCATTCTTTTTCTAAAGCCAATGTACTTAAAAAGGGAGTATCAGATAGGTCCCATCCTATATTCTTTGGCTGTGTGCAGCAAGAAAAAATGTTCTCTTTGTGTTCTGATGACATACTTGTTGTTTCTCTTAGTTTGTGTAGCTCCTGGGGTCATGTCTATGGGTAGTAAATAAAACACTAAGTAAAACATTTGATGTGTAATAGCAATTGAAGTCACAGGAGTGTTGGGTGAACAAGACATGCAGAATCCAAGTGTTTTGTTTGTCCAAATAATACACTGTTAGCCATTTGTTCAAAATGTTTACCTGCCCCAAAAAGGATATCTGCATTTGATTGGTGTTTTCAGAAACCATTATTTAAAAAAATGCAATCCAGTAGATAAATTCATGTAGGATTAACACCAGAAAATCGTCTTGTTTGTTTTTAAATAATTTCATTTTTGAGAGTAAAAATGAAGAGAAAGAAATAGGGTGAATAGCTTCAATCACTAATATAGGCGAGGGAAGACAGAATAAAATGTACCCATTGTGAACTTTGGTAGTTAGTTAGCTAGACGAATGAAATATGAAAACACTGCAATGTCTTATATGTTGAGCAAGGCTTAAGGCATGTGGTGAAAGGTAAGTGTTTTAACATCAGGCCTGGTTCTGAGAAGCACTAACAGAAAATCCCATACAGGCATTGTGGGTGCTCAGCACTTTCCAGGATGAGTGCCTTTATTAGCAAATAACCCTTGAGAGCAGTAAAGTGGGTCATGACATTCTGAAACTTTTGATATTGTATTGTAGACCATTGATGCTTTTGCAAATGATTAATTACCGTGTTTCTGTTACAGTGATGAACATGATGCTATCATTTAAAGATACTTCTGAGAAGACAGTGGGGAAATTCCACCCGATCACTGCTTTAAGAACATCTATTTGAAAATTTTTTTTTCCTTTCATAAAGATAGTCCCAATCTCTAATGCATCCATAGATCTGATCCTGCACAGTGTCAAGATCTTCCCAAGCACCCTGAGCTCCCATTTATTGCAATGGGAGCTGGAGGAAGTTAGCACTTTGCAGAAACATGCCCTGTTGTTGATGCAATTTAAAAAAAAAATCTTTAACGTTCATTACCTAATGATGAACTGAAATGCTTTTTAAAATAAATGCATACAAACTTTGAGATACCAAATCATTACCATAACATACCACGTGACATTAAAATTGTGAATACATTGGATTATTGCCTACATACTACATAAATGCGGGTGGTTCTACTTTGGGTACAACAGGCTGAAAAAATACTAGTCGCAGTTAGGGAAAAATGCAATAGGCTTGGCAGGTAAACTACAAGAGGAAGTGACTTTGCTACTATTTTGTATTAAAATGTATTTATTTGTAACTTGAAACTTGGGGTGAACTTCTGTTAATGATTTGGGAACCTCAGACTTTGTTTTTTAACGAAAATATTTCAGTTCAGTGCTGATGCTAGTAAAGGGATGTGAGATTATTCCAATTTATCAAATTATGATTCATAATGTCGTAAACTATCCAGAACAGGATGATAGAAAACGTACTTAAAATATAGTCTACCAATGATCAGTGATCTGTGGATATATTACCAGAGACTACTCGTAACTGTTGATAGTGGGGGGACACAATGTAAAGGTTCTGGTGGTATGCAGCGGGGTTCAGAGCAGAGCACATAAATCCTGGCAGAAATCTGAAGGGGCATGTGACCCTGTGTGCTCCTTCCACCACATTACCTCTGGGTCTGCAGAATAAAATATAGTGAGAATCAATCTGTGGGGAACTGGGAGGGGGAGGAGATACAGTCCATGACAGTACTTGTCTCTTATGAAGTGGTCTACAAGTTGAAATGGGCTAGATGATCATTATAATACACAGGTTTTATTTAGAATTAAATTAGTGATTCATATCCAGCAAATCACAATGGTATGATTGAGATAAAATTGTATTTTTTTAAAAAAAAGGCTTGTCTCCTACTGTGAATATGAAGATTTCCACTGAAAATTATTCTAGCTTGGATGTAATTTAAAATCCCTGCTTTGTTTTATTTGGAAGCTTTATACAGGGTTTCTAGTAGGATTTTAGGAAGAGTTGGGAGTAACTTTCCAAATGCGAGTGGTAAAATATAATATGTAGGATAGCATTTAAAATATATATCTATGCCCTACATTCTTAAAATTGTTTGCAGGACCTGGTGCTGCTGTACTTACACATTATGATCTAGTCCGGGGTGGCCAACCTGTGGCTCTTCAGAAGTTAATATGCGGCTCCTTGTATAGGCACTGACTCTGAGGCTGGAGCTACAGGAGCCAACTTTCCAGTGTGCCGGAGGGTACTCACTGCTCAACCCCTGGCTCTGCCACAAGTCCTGCCCCCACTCCACCCCTTCCTGCCGCCTCCCCTCAGCCTACTGTGCCCTCGCTCCTCGCCCCCAGAGCCTCCTGCATACCACAAAACAGCTGATTGGGAGGTGCGGGGAGGGAGGTGCTGATCGGTGGGGCTGCCGGAGGGTGAGAGGCGCTGGGAACGGGGGTGGGGGAGCCTATGGAGGGCTGCTGACATATTATTGTGGCTCTTTGGCAATGTACATTGATAAATTCTGGCTCCATCTCAGGCTCAGGTTGGTCACCCCTCATCTAGTCCAAAGTCCATTGAAGTCAATGAAAAGACTCCCATTGGGTGATATCAACAGACTTTGAATCAGATCTTTATTTCATAGGGAGTCATAAAGAAGGGGCCTGACACTGATTTCTAATTCCCTTCCCGTTTACACTGGTATAATTGTATTGACCTCAGTGGATGTAATCCTGATTTACACTGATATAAGAAGATTCGTGTGAGGCTCAAAGACTGCAAATTTGGATATTTAGAATATTTCAGCAGCAGTGAGCTAATGTTCAATCCCAATCAGTTTCCCTTTGCAGCTGACCCTGTATGGAAAAGTGCCTCTGATGGAGAGCTGCTTTGGTGGGTACTACTAATGATAATTCACCATCCAAGACACAACCACGTATGTATTAGACAGCTATTGGAAAGTTTGCCCAGGTGCATTTTTGCATGCAAGGTGGCCATTAGTGTGTGATGCAGCACTTTGGTAGAAACAGGTCTTATACCAGTTACTATTTTGTTTAGAAATGTTTCACTCTTGTAAGTCTTGCACTTTCATAGGATTTTATTTAAAAAAAAAAAAAATCTGTCCTAAATACAAAATTCTTTCTGTATATGATAAGATCTAGGCCTGCAAACCTTTCCTGCTGTGGGCAGTCCTTACTCACGCACTCCCTTTGCAATCAGTAGAGTTACTTGTTTGCGTACTCCCAGGAGGAAGGGTTTGCAGGGCTATGCCATTAAACTTTTTTTTTCTCTTGTTTAAAAAAAATTGAAGTATTTTAAGTGATTATTAATTTCACTGTTTTGGGGGAAAACCTTGCCTTTTTCTTTTTATATGTATATATAAAGACTATAGCTAAACTTTACCAGTTTGCAAATCGTTGTTCTACAGAATTTTTTTTGTAGTTACCCAGAGTTTTACTGTATTAAGTGCTACTCAGTAGAGTTACTGAGATCCTCTGACCTCTGTTGTGCAGATAAATATTAAAATGAAATGTTTGCCTTTATTACCAGAATGTCAGGTCCAGTGTATTTTTGATTTTATTAAACAGTGTTTTAATTCCTTAAAAATGTTGGATGAAAATGTCAATTTACAATATACAGGTGTTTAATGATCTGCTTTTTAGATGACAGAACACAAGAGTTTAATTTTTTGCCAGAACTTCTGCAGTTTGAAATACATTTTATTTTATTGTTTGGAGTTTGTGTGTAGAAAACAATATTAATGTCTGCAGTTAAGATGTAGCAGTAAATGATGCAAAGGAAAGTTAAATTCCTTTAGGTGTGTGTATACTGTAGGAAGTGAAAATTGAGTCCTACTCACCATTAAGGTTCAGAATTTACATTCTAATGAAAGGGAAATGGACTTCAGCCTTATGGTCAGTTGACTGTTAATAATACTAGTCAGATAATGACAGAACTCTTTGCTGTACCATAATATGTGTAAAGTATGTACATAGACCTCAGTCCTGCAAGTTGCTCCATGTTTGTGGTCACTTGTACCCAGATGCAGGTGAACTTGAATTCATTGGGACGCCATGTAGATGCAGGGGTCTACCCATATGGAGTAACTTGAAGAATTAAGAACAGCTTAAAATGCACAGCTGTTTAACTAACCTGATTGTCTGAACATTGTTAACCCTCTATGCCTATCCTATGGACACGCAGCTGATCTGTGGCAAAAAGGGGATTACATCCCAGCCCTGTGCTCAGCCCTCTAGGCTGTGTTGCCTTATTGTAAAGCTGTTTGAACTTATCTACTCTGGAAATGTTATAGCTGCATTGTGGGAACATACAATAGAAAGTTCCCAAGATCTCACAATGCATCCATTCTGGAAATGTTATACAGAGTATGCAGGTAGTCTCTGAGTTGTAAAACTGGTTGCCTTATAATGAAATACAAGATGTTAAAGCCTCAATTCAGCAAAACACTTAAGCACATGCTTAACAACCATTAACATCAGTGGGACTTATGCATATATTTACATGCATTATTGAATCAGTGTCTAAGAAAACTAGAATAAACAGTGGCTCAATCTCTCTGCACAATTATTTTGGCACCTCCCTCCCCCTGGAAGGAGAATAATAAGTTGAAAGATGTTCTTCCATTTGTCATCAAATACTCTTTCCTTTCAGAATCTAAAATAAGTTGCCTTGAAAGTTAAGTGCTGCCTTGCATCCAATGTGTTTTAAAAAGGGGGGGGGGGGGGAGAAAGAAAACTAAAGTGCAGGCATCACATCAGATATGAAATTTTAAATGCTCATAGCTATTCAAGTGACTTCCTTCAGTTTTGGCTTGAGCTTTTGATCTTAATGTGATGTACAAAATGAGCCTATGGTCTACCTTCAGACATTATTCAAATTACTTGTATGCAAAATTTCTAATCAAAATGTATATATGGGGAAAAAACAACATTTTGGGTTTTTTCCCACACTGGTAACTTATAAAAGGGCAATCTGTTTTTGCTCAAACTTCCATTTAGTAAAAAAAGAAAAGAAAAATTTGGACTGAGACCAAAAGTGCAAAATTGGACCACAAAAGGAATCTGAGAATTATGGGTCTCTGTGGATGTTATAATAATGCAAAGAATTTTCAAAGCCAACAACAAAAAACAGGCAGGGCTAGAGTTTATTCCAGGGTTTTTTTAACCCCTGTATGTTTGCCTTATTTTTTCTTTTGTAAAGTGTTTATGCTTCACTTAAACTAAATTCACCTTTTGTCAGACCCAGTGGCCAAATCATAGCCTGAAAATTCTGCTCTCCCTTATATACACAGCATTCCCATTTTCCACACCTCGCAGGAGAACAGAATCTCAACCGAATTATATTCTGTAGGTTTCAGAGGACATCTTTCCTCAAAACAAAAGTCTGTCCCTTCTAATTTGAATTATGTGATTTTTAGAAACCGTTTGCAATTTTCATTCTCCAGCTTTATCGTAATGAAATCCACCAGGCCAACACTTAAGCTGAAGCTAGCTGCTGTGATTTTTTTCCTCTGACTGCAAGTGTTCTTGTAGGCCTCTATTTAATCTTGCATTTCAGTGCTGTTCCTGCTTTTTGAGGCATGTACTTGCATAGCTGTTTCACCCTGTTGCTCTATTTTTATCTTCTGGAAATGGAAAATTACTGACTTGTAACTTTACTTCTCTGAAGATAGTGTAACAGGATTCTCACTTCTGTGTTTCAGCTTCCTAGGGCAAAATCTGAAGCATATCCCCAAACTGTTAAGATGAGCCCCTAAACCACTGTAAGAGTAGGGTGCAAGAGCCTAGTTATGTAGCAGTTGCACACCTCCTGCTCAGCTTAACCTCTGACCTTGGAGCTTTCCAGGTGGTTTCTTATTGGGCAGGGGCAGAACTCCCAAAGGAAGTAAGGCAAGCAGCAAAGGCTTGAAGATCTTCTTTAAAAAAAAAAAAAAAAATGAAAACCAACTAGTATTTTCTCTATAAATATAACACCCCCAACCCCCATCACTAGTGGGGAGGAAGGCAGGTGAGTGAAAAGCCTGTCAGAACAGTTTCAAAGGAAACAGAATTACAGGTCCATAACTTTTCCCTTCTCAAAACATAGTACCTGAGTGGAGTCACACCCCTGGAGAATAAGTAATTCTAGAGGCTGTCACAGATTCAGAGGGTCTGATCTATGCCCCAGCCTGTCACCAGTCTCTTGGGAGTGACTGCTTTAATGGGCTGGGTCCCAAGGGCCCACACAGTTCCACTAGGGGCAGCCTTGTGGCATCCAAGACTCTGGGATAGGGCCTTCAGTACCAGCAATCCCTTTCTCTTTCCATGGCTCCCTGCAGAGAATCCAGCCACGCCAGATTCCTGTGGAAGGCTCATACTGTACCCTATTAAGGACAAAGCTCTCAGTGAGTATTTGCAGAGACAACAGCCAGCCTTTTCAATCAGGTAACAATTTATAGGTCACGTGACTGCGGAAACTGAAAGTCCTTAGGTTAGCAAAGAGAGGCCAAGCCAGTGCCATCAGCCGGCCAAGCTGTAATGGATTCCATTTCTGGCCCTCTGTCCTTAGACCAGAGCTTCCAGCCTCTTCTAGAAGCCAACTGTATATCCACTCTTGGCCCCAGCTCAGGCTTTTGTTCTCCAGGCAGTGCTGTTGAGAGTTGATGCATGAGTCACTGGAGTTTGCATTGTCTCTCTGGATCCCCTGCTGAACTGAGTAGGTGTCAGCCCAGTTCTTTAATGACACTATTCATTCCACCCAGGCAGGGCAGGGAGGTGACACTCCTACACCATCTTTTAGTCTACCCTGAGAGCAAACTTAATTCTGTTTCTCGCCCCCCCCCCCCCGCCACCCCAGGCCATTGGTTGGCAATGCTCAGTAGGGGGAGAAATGGAAGCATGCATAGGATTCATAACAATATTACAAAAAATTCCCATGTCATGTCTTCCCTGATCAAGGATGAATTGAGCAGGGTCACTTTAACCAGTGTCCTGGGGATGTCTGAACCCACAATTGTTATCCATAGATGGAGGGGTATGGACAAGGGGGGGCAAGCAGGGGCATGAGCCCCCAAATAATCAGTGGGGACACAGAACTCTGGCCTCAGGGCAGCAGGGGGAGAGTGAGTTCCTCCAGCCACAGGGGGAGCTGATAGCTCCTCAGGCCCTGGTGCTGTGGCAGGGGTACAGAACATGCCCCTCCAGAACCAGTCATATTTTTATTCCTTTGCATGCCCCTGCATGGATGCCACAGCATATTTCCCATCTCCTTGGTAGCTGACTGTCACGGAGTCCCCAGGTGATGCTCTGGAACTGCTCCCCCTGAAGCCAGTCAGGACTTGGGGGAAGTCTCCTTTCTGTGAGCAGCCTGTCTTCAAGACACACAGTTCACACGGCTTCCACCTTCCTGGGTCTGAACTCGGAGCATTCAGCATCCTCTGCCCCTCCGTGCGCTTCCCACAGAGAGTCCAGCCAGGCGGGGTCCTGGGGAAGCCAGAGGGTCCTGCCCCCCAACTCCACAGTCGGACGGGACTCTCAGCCAGCCAGTAAAACAGAGGTTTATTAGATGACAGGAACATGGTCTAAAACAGCTTGTAGGTGCAGAGAATAGGACTGCTCAGCTGGGTCCATTTTGGGGGGCAGTGAGCCAGACAACTTCTGCACTTCACTCCCCAGCCAGCCTCAAACTGAAACTCTATCCAGCCCCTCCTCCTCTCGGCTTTGTCCCTTTCCTGGGCCAGGAGGTCACCTGATTCCTTTGTTCTCCAATCCCTTTAGCTCTCACCTGCAGGGGGGAAGGGCCGAGGCCATCAGTTGCCAGGAAACAGGGTGTTGGCCATTCTGTGTGTCCAGACCCCTGCACACACCTGCCCTCTAGGGTTCTGCAACGATCATACACCCTTATCCCACCACCTAGATACTTAAGAACTGCATAGGGGAAACTGAGGCACCCCCCACACTATTCAGAGGAAACATTAAGAACAGTCCCAGTTTGTCACACTGACATAGGTACTTTCATGATTCTTACAGCACAGTTTCTAATCAATCAATCTGACTTTTCATAACACAAGATAGAGTAGTTTCACATCCTCTCTTCGGTCTTGTCTGTTAGCTCACACTAACAGGATGCACATGGGGAGTTTCCATGCAGTCTCCTGAGCCCTTTTAACCCAAAATTTGGGGTTTGAAACTGATATGGATTGTAGAATTATCTCCTCCCACTCATCTGCCAGGGAGCAAGGAGACCAGTGAACCCATATTCTGCCATGTGTCAGCCTTCTTGACTGCAGCCTGGGGTATCCTTACCCTAGGCTGGGGTAGGAAGTGACTAGGGTGACCACCTTTTCAAAATGCAAAAATGGGACACATTCTTCCCCCTCCAGGGCCCTGTCCCCCTGCTCCTTGTCCTCTTGAGACCATGCCCCCTGGCCAGAAGCTGGAACCAGACAGTAGTAAAACCAATCCAAGAACAGCCTCTGGCTCTGCCTGCTGGGGCATGCCATCCAGGGCAGGGGGTGGGTCCAGGACTCCAGGGCTCCCTACAATGT